TATTATTATACGTGCAGGAAAATGTGTACGGTCCATAGTTCACATAATGTATATTGTAAAATATAAAGTCACTGACATTACATCTGCAACAAAAGAATACAAATTATTTATTATACCAATCATTTAAGTAATATTAAATAACCATAATATGAAAATTGTAAATCCAGACATCAAGCTCCAAGTTGCAAGCAAGAGAAATGAGTAATTTGTAGAGATCACAGTCTGATTTCCAAGTTCCTTGTTGTTTAGCTGGCTACATATTGCAACGGTAGTCGATCCGATCAATCGATACGTTCGCGATTCGGCATACTCAAAGTGCGAGAACGAACGTTTAGGAGAGAGAGGGGGCGCGCGCGAGTCCAATGAAAGTCTAATCCGCTTTGAGTCTATTTCTGAATCCTACAAATGACAATTTAAATTTATCAAACGGAAATCGATCTGAATCCCCTTTAATATTTTTCTATCCTGAAATTAATTATTATAATATGTAAAATCAATTTCGGGATAAAAAAACATTAAAGTGAATGAAGATTCATTCTACTTTAATGTACTTCAATTGTCATTTGTAGGATTTAGAAATAGATTCAAAGCGGATTGGATTTTCAATCCGGTTGAATGTCCTTATTTTAGCAGGGTCTCTCTCCCAGGATAATTATTAATCCTACACGTGTGAGTAAGCCTTTCAGCCCTTTAAAGCTTATAACGATTAATCCTATTAAATGAATCATTTTATTATTCGCCGCTTTACGTTCTTTAGTTTCCCTTTAACTTAACGCAAAAGTTTTCTAGAATCTTTTTTAAACCGATTTCGTCTAGGGAATAGTGGAAAGAAACATTAGTCTACGTATACCTAAGTGAAAGCAAGTGTCACAACTCAGGTGACTTAAGATGAGACCAACTCTACTAGAAAGGAGACATTGGAGTGAATGTATCAATCGTAAAGGCGAATACACGTATGCTCATACGTGATTAACAGAGCGGCGGTTAGCTGTGCAGCGTGGAAGATTGTTCTTAAATAAATCCAATTTGCATCAGTTAATCCACTCCATTATAATATTCATATTTCAATCACAGGACTACTTGACAACGGTTTTATACGATATATCTCCTCTACAGCAAAACCCACAATCACAATATTCAAAATAACATAACCTGTACGAATTTATACACAGCAGCCAACAACGTACCTTCACAATGATTGCTTGCTATAACAGTTGCAACGATTGCCGAAAATCGTTTGGACTCAGGTGAGCTACTAAGCGTGGCTGAGCGTAACAGCCGCGATCGGTTTGAGTTAGAGAGAGAGAGAGAGAGGGGGCGCGTTAGGGGCAATGACCGGGAGGGGAGAGTTAGCTAGCCAGTATGACTGTGTCCTTCAGTCAGGCGACCTCGCAGCTCTTTGCGTCGGAAAAATAAAGAGTTCTTTCCCACTCGAGTGATACCGTGAGTTAGAACAGATAATTAGCGAGTGACGAGGCGAGTGTGCACACTGCAGAACGTGTGCACCACTAGTGTAAAGGATAATTGTGAGTGGAGTGCCGAGTGCGCGCACTGCTCAACGTGCGTGGCCTCGGCAGCTACGAGAGCAACCTCAGCAGCTTCAACAGCAACGCGACAGCCCCAGCGGAGAAGCAGGCGCAGAGGCAGTCCGTCGTCCAGCAGATAATCGGATACGGTTGGCCACCGTATCCCCTTCGATTTATCGGTAGGTGCACGGCACTTTTCCATTGTGTTAGCGTGCGATCCCGCGCAGCGTGCGTGGCGGGTTTATTGACAGCGTGCGTGCGAATAGTCCGCGACGATCGCGAGATTCTCTCTCCCCGTTCGAATTGTTATATCGAAACTGCGTTAGTCTCTCGGCAAATCCCTCCCTCATACAAATCAGAGTTAATTGAATAAAGTGGTTAGAGATCCCCGAGAACGATCTTATCATTGAGTCTTTCCTTTGTCCGAGATCGGTGTTATTGTTGACATCCGATTCGAATGCGCCGGTAATCTAGCACGGATCGTGCGAGCGTAGCAGAAGCGGTTCGTCGACCAAGGTGCTTGCGGTGTCCGACGGAGCGCTAGTAAGCTAGCGCGCCAGCACCAATGTACGAAGGGATCGCGCACCCAAGTCAGATCGCTGAGCGGATACGGCGCATGCGCACAGCGGATCAAGGTGAGTAAGTGTGCTGGAGGCACACAGTTAATAGCGCACCGTCTGGCCGTATTGAGGATTACGATTACCCGGGATTTGCGGCTAGGCGGCAGCCTGTTACACAGTTTAGAATCTATAATAAATATTGTAATACATACTTTTTAGTTGTCTTTTTTTAATTCCGTTTAATAATTAACTGCTGACATATGAGTCGGTCTGATGGTATTGTGCTTTTTGAAAGCATACAAATATATACATACAATATAATTCAAACCGACTAAAGTTTATACGCAGTGTATAATACCAACTTGTTGATATAATACTGTTGCGTCGCAAACATAAAAACGAGGCTAAAATTACATTGCGCTTGCGCTCGCTCAAAGGCGAAAGAGTATGTGTGTGTGGATGCGCGTGTGTGTGTGTCGGAGGTGCGACTATGAGTTGAGTGGTAGCACTTTGCCAAAAACGAACGCCATCTAAGAGTGATTCCGTTCCTTTCTTTTTACGAATAGGCGGGAACGTCATTCTTCGAAGAATAATTGTTACGTGCGGAGCTCCTACGTGTATTTTGTGTGCAATAGCAACCGTCGTTCTCGCGTTAGTGCGATTTCGCCTGATAAGAGAATATCACTTACCGATTTGTCTACGAATCTCTTTCGTCCACGCCGGTGATAATTCCGGCTAGTTTGGAAGGTGCGTTATTGCGCAATCAATACGAGTATTAAAAATTCTACCGAGAAGATAATAGGCTTGGATGCCTTTGTCTCTCTCATTTGTGCCGGCAGAGTGGCCGATGTGCTAAATTTCTCTAGCGTCAGTGTTTTGCTAACCGAACGTCTAAGTGTAATTTTATAGCGTTATTCTTTTGTATTTCAATAAAAAGTGTTTTTTATGCTGGTTGGCTTTTTTCCTTTACGCATTGTATTTTCATTCGTTCCTCTTTTTATTAAAAAACCAAAATTCTAATTTCCAATATTAAATAAGAACTAAATACCGTCGATGGTATTTAGATGCAACAAAACAAATATGCTCTATTTTTTGGATCACATAACGTAGAGAAATACGGAATGAAACGGTTTTCCTGCCATTTGGGGTATCAAAGTTAATATCAATTTTTATTTAAAATCAATAATATTTAGCATGAATATGAATACGGGAGATGACGTGGGAAATTATAATCTTAATTTTAAGCTCTAAATCGTAAAAATTGAACAATAATTTCCGGAGAAATCAGCTAGTGAGTAGGTAAACGGAAAAACGCGATTTTCCCCTGTTTCCTGTTGATTAATCATAGTGTCAGAATTGATGTTTCATTGATTGTGTCAGAAGCATTCTGTAAATACTCCACCGGTAGTCGTTCGTGTAATTTTGAAAGTGTCAGAATCGTACCACTCTAGATCAGTTCCGGAAAATAGTCAAAATAAATAAAAATAATTTTCAATAGAATCGAATTTGCTCAGTTCAGCTATGTTGGCCAAATAATTTGCCCGCATTAGTTTTTCCAATAAAAAAATATCAGTGTTTTTTTATGCAAACTTTAAACGATTATCTTGACAAAATATTTATATTTTGTCAATCCTCAGATCTTAAAAAATTGCTTATAACGAGTGAGATTGCTCCTCGTTATGTCTCCTTCTTCCGGTACGATCTTATACTTATTTTGTACAATATAATTGTGTTAAAATTACTATTTATTGTTTGTTCACGTTAGCTGGCGTACAAGGTGGGTGAGAGAGCTGGTGAGAGAGCTGGTGAGAGAGAGAGAGAGAAAGAGAGAGAGACTATTGTGAACCGGCGATACCCCTACTACGCGCGCGAGACAAGAGGCACTCGATTTCCGATTTTCGATAGGCATCATTCAATTCGCGCTGAGATTAGAATGCACGCTTTTGTGACTACGCTATCGCCAAGGGTTCATGCGATGAATTTTACCGCGCCCTGCTTAACCATCCCGGATAAGACTTTGCAGTGTGGACGAATTCCCAGCGAGGATTTATTGTGACCGACACCTGTGAGGCACCCGGGGCGTAAACCGAGTGACCGATTTTAAACGTACGTGAAATCTCTGGTCAGCAACTGTCAGTACCGGTGTCTTATTCATCTTTCTCTCTCTACCAACGTCACTTCCTTGATTTCGAATTATTCGCACTTACTACATACGCCACGCTCTACTTTCCTTTTTCGCTTGCGTACATGTTAACGTGACCTGATGTCATACCCCGGTCGTGGCCTTGCACGGCGCGACGCTGTGTTGATTACCTTGACGATCCACGTCTAGGTGAATAGCGCCCGCGCCCTCGAGATATCAGATAACCCCTTATTATATATATATATATATATATATATATATATTACGAGAAATTTGCCCCGCTATAATACATTGGACATGTACATTATTTTTTATAAAGAAATTGGAATAATGTAATTGGTATCGTAAGCAATTCAAACAGTCGTCCTGCGCATGCGTCAACTTACGGAGTTAGCTGCGGCTGCTGATTAGTGTAGGTATATTATTTAAATTTATTTATAAAAAATAATATACTTTTGAAATATATTATAATGAAATAAAGTCTTTGTGAAAGCGCGCAATTTTTTAAGACCTGAGAATTGAACAAATATTGATATTTCGGGAAGATATTATATCATTTGAAATTTTCATAAAAAAGAAACACTGTCATATTTGTTTTTTTTTTTTTAATGTAATGCGAGCAAATTATTTGGCCAATATAGGATACCGAGCAAATTTGATTCTATTGAAATTTTTTTTTTTATTTTGAGTATTTTCTGGGGCTGATCTAGGAGTGATCGGAATAGTTCTGTCAACACCCTAGCAGATCACGCAGACCATAGACAGAGCATAAGACGCAGCCATCCATGGACATACAGTCTCCATGGATGCAGCGCTGGCATAAAAGGAAATATGTATAATTATTATTTTTTGAATGTAAAATAAGGATTCTGAAAATTATTAAACTTGTTTACTGAGTTTAACAGAGTTAATATATATTAATTATTATAAAAAGATTTTATTATGTTAAATTGAAATCTTTCAATGACAATTGAAGTACATAAATGAAATTTAGAAAGAGATTGTTATGTATATAATTATCTTTTGGATTACTTGAACTTCGATTTTTTGAAAGTATATGATACAAATAACAATAGGTAGGTGAATTCTGTTTTTGGTAACATGAAAAATAGAATACAAATTGTGAATTTTTTGTAATTTTAATTTATATGATTACAAAAATATTTCTATTGAAGTTAAAATACATGGTTGTAGTCATGAAACTGGTTATGTCATTTTTTGAACTATACTAAATTTCATTTCATAAACATGAAGTTTGAAGAAATACAGTTTTATTATTATAAAATGAAGAAAAGTTATCGTATTTTTTATTCCTTCCAGACATTGAAAGATTAAAAGATTATATTTGTAACTAAAATGAAATAAAATTTTACCCTCACATGAGCAAGTATACAAAATATTGATATAATTTAAGCATGTGTCTGTAACAATTATAGATATCATTTTTGAACAATAAGTTTTATCTATAAATTAACATTTTATTGTTTTATTAATGTTATTTGAGTTAACAATATTTTTTCCTGTATAAAATAAATATAATTATTAAATAATACTTTTTTAAATACTCACTATAAAAAACAAATAGAATATTGTGATGATTAATTTTACTACAACTAAAACTATTTTATTGCAAACTAATCTATATATTTAATATGTATAACATATTAAAAATGTTGTGTGAATGTGTGTGTGTGTGTGTAATCTTGTATATGTGTGTGTGTGTGTGGGTATTTATGTGTGTGTGTATGTACGTATGGTATATATGTAAGTATGTACAATATTTTTTGTATAATATTCTATTTGTTTTTTAAAATGAGTATATGGAAAAGTTTTATTTATTTATTTATTTAATGATTTCATTTATTTTACATAGGTAAAAATGTCATATTCATTAAAATAACATTCAAAAAATAACACAACCTTAGTTAATGAATTTAACTTTTTGTCCAAAATGACATTCATAATAGTTAAATGACATTTTTAACTTGTATCGATATTTTGTCCATTTACTTGTGACATATGTTTACTTGTTGATATATTTTTGATATAATTTATTTAAATGATATTTGATTAATTATTTGGAGTACATTTCATATAATTTTTATATGAAATACACTTGAATAATCCAAAATATAGAATTAAAGTTAAGAAATATATAAAATAAATTGCATTAATATAAATCTAAAGTTACTTTTTTGATTTTGTTATATGGATTTTATTATGAAATCAGAATTTATGTAATATTTCTTTTAGTCATCATTTAATTAATCAGAATCACAAAAATTTCATATAATATTCTGTATATATAAAGCTTTAGAAAATCTCATACAGATTATTTATAGCATTGTTCACATTCAATTTTTTACATTTAATTTTAATTTATAGTAAAGATTCATTTGGAATAGAATATATCTATAAGGTAAAAAATATGGCATGACTTACAATTTATTTGTAGGTATGACCTCAAATTAAATTATAAAAAAGATAGAATAATTATTTCAATTATAAGCTTTTGAACTTCCAGTTCTTCAAAATGTAATGGATTGAAAATGAGTATGGAGTATCATATGAACATATGATATTCCATAGAAATTTAAAAAATAAAGTTTTAAATGTATTCATTTTTTCAACATATGTTATAATACTAAATGTTGTAAAATATGATATTTATATTAAGTATTTATATATTTATTGGTTTTTTTATTATAAATTTATTGGTTGAAACTTGTGTTTATTATTTAATTTTTCAATCTATCTTTGTCCAAGTGAAATCAATGCTATTTAGTATAAAGCTATTTAATGGATCACTGTCCAAAAGAAATAAACTTAAACAATTGTTTAAAAAAAATTTTTTTAATAAATCGTAGAAATTTTTTAACTTAATGAAACTGATTCTGTCAATTGTTTCAATAAGATAAAAAAACTCGAATATATTTATAGAATTTTTTTATCAATCTATATTTTTTTGAAAAATTTCACACTTGAATAAAATTTATTCTTTTAATCGGTTTTATGTGATACTATTTTCGAAAAATAGCGGTTCCATGCTAAATAAACATTATATCGTAAGTGTCATCAAAATGTGGAAATGGGTGCAATTGTTAGTATACAGTGTAGAAAACTACCATAAAAGTGAAATGGTTTCAAAATATAATGCTGTTAGCCTAATTAAGATAATAGACAGTTCATTTATTATTTGCCACTACCACTCTAATATTGCCGTAATCTTGAAGCTACACCCAACGTGAATTGAATCGCGACCCCCCCAGTTAGGTTGGTAGAGTGCTACTTTCAGTCCGTAACGGTGGTTTTCAGATCGGCCATAGTATAACGCTCGTTTTTAAATTGTATAATTAAAACCTAAAATCAAATAATCATGCATCTAAATTCATTGTTCGCAAACAATTAATTTTGAACCTAAAAACAAATTAGTAACGTTTTATCTTTTTATCGTATCTTAAAACGAATTTTCATTTTTGAATATTCCCGCGGTTTCTTCGTTCCGATGCAACGACGGAATTCTCATACTAACCTAACTGGGGGGGTCGCGATTCAATTCACGTTGGGTGTACAACATATGGCAGTCTAAATGAGGAAACAAGAAAATGTATTGCTCCACTTCAGGTGGATCTTTTGCCAAGTGTTTAACTTCGGGTAACCGCGCGATTATAAAAATACTTTTTGTCTTCTGCTCGCTCGTTATAGAAAAGTTATTGGTAGATTAACCCGTTTCCGCCGAAAACGCCACTCACGTTACCCTGGTATTTGAGAACTTATAACTGACGTTAAAATTGACAAAAAAATTGAAAGAGCTATATTCTGAAAGTTTAAGATCTGCTCTTTCCGATGGTGCTCATCTCAATTTTCCAAAAAATTTTTTACTATTGCAAAATGCAGTTTTAAAAAAAAATCATGATTTTTTCACTCCTTTTTTTTTTAAATCGAGTTTTCAAAAGGTTTCTCCAGTGGAATCGACCCGGAACCTCTGTAACTGGTGGAATAAATGTCTGAATATTAAGGTCTCATCGTTTTCGGATCGATTTTTTACCTGGGGAGTTTCAAAATGGCGCTTCGATTGCAAAATTTTTGTAAATATGTTTATGAATTTTTAACTCAACAACTATGGGGTTATGGAAAAATTGCCAAAGAAGAAAATGTTCTTAGAATTACTCAAAGAATGCACCTAAATTTTTTCAAAAGATTTCAAGAAAATTTTTTTATTTTTGCAAACTGTAAATTTATGCAAAATTCAAAAGTTGCTCAAAAAATCCAAAATAATTCCCACGTATTCTACAGTTTATTCTAAGAATATTTTATTCTTATAAATTTTTTTGTATGTGCATTTCTTGTGAAAATTTTCCCATTAGTATCAATGTGGTATCAAAGTGCATATTTCGCCTGTTCGCCGTAAAATGCATTTTTTTACGTTGCCCAACTATCACCATCGTGGAGGTCGACGAATATAGATAGTCTCTTTTTTTTTACATTTTAGTTATTTTTATATTTTTTTTGTATTTTTGTTTTTTTTTTTTTTAATTATTTATGATTACTTTAGAGAAAAAACTTATTTCGCTTGATGCAAAAGAGGAAAACAGTGCAAGCAATAGTACTTGTCGCAATCAATGCAAAATCTGCTAGTTCGTTGACGACACTCCTTGTAGTTACATACTGCTCTAGTTCTAGTTTCATACTGATGAGATTGGAAATCGTCCAATTTAGAATTGGATAAATACACTCTACTGATTTCTTTACATAAATATTTTGTTGTAACATGTTTAGTTTTGTCGGTATTGCAAATGTTCCAAAGTGTTAAAACATTTGTAACTGAAGCTTGAAGGATACGCGAGAAAATTTTGAATGTCCATTTTTTTGAGCTAATACTTGGGCAAGCTTTTTTACATAGAAAATCGTGCAAGTCTACGCCTCCCATAAATTTGTTGTACAGTGAGAAGGCAAAAGGAAATCCTATTTCTATTCTATCTTTAGCAGTTCATGAATACCTTTTTATTGGTTTTATAGGTGTAACACCAACTGCTGTAGATAAAACAGATACTTCTTTGGAGTCAATTACAGTAATAAAGTTCATACCACTGTTTGTGTCATGATCCACTTTGAATGTTCCTCGCGGAGCTTTTTTTTCAAAAGTATGCTTTACTTTCACTCTATCCTTGCGTACAGTTCCTGTCGATCGCAATCCATATTTGCCCAAGTGTACAATTAAATCAGGACTAGTGAAATAATTATCGAAATAGAGGTGATAGTCTAAGCTTTCTTTTTGAAATGCCAAGTAAAAGAGGATTGATCATTTGTACAACTACTCTGGATCCAAGTGGACATGATGCTAAATTTATTCCAATGCTAGTATCATTTTTACCACAGCAAATGTCCATATTGAACAAATACCCATTTGCTCCACACAATTCCCAGAGCTTTAGTCCATATCTGTCAGGCTTGCAAGGTAAATATTGTTTTAGGCAAGTACGTCCAAAAAATCTGACCATCATTCCATCTACAGAAAGAGCTGTCATAAAAAAGCCAAATTGTTGAATATTTGTTTTGAATAGATTTAATATTTCCCGAACTTTCCAAGCTTTGTCATGGTCATTTTTATCTTTAGGTTTAGAATATTTTATTTTTGTTTTTATTTCACAAAACCTATCACGAGTCATTGCTGAAGAAACTACAGAGCACTTCACAAGAGGGTCAGTTTCCCAATACTCCCTTAGCTCATTTCGTATGTTGTACGAAGATAGCAGTAATATTCCCACAAAAGTATTAAGTTCTTGTACGGATAAATTCAATCCATTTGCTTCGCTAGCTTCAATGATATAATTTTTTATTTCTTTAGAGAAAAAAAGTTCAAATAACTGCACAGGTGACATTGAACATATTTTTTTCTTTACAGAATCACTCAACAGTAATTCATTCTCTACATTTCTAGGGCATACTTTTTCTGAATTACACCATGAAAATTCATGATCTGGTTCTAATTTTTTTTTAACTGCTGAATAGTTATGAAAAGTAGATCTGTATGAAATGTTTGGTTTTGGGATTTCTTCATCCAAATTCTCATCATCTGACAAGGAAGGTACCCGAGGTGTACCTCACCGATTTTCTTGAAATTGTGATATGTTGTAGAACATTAAAAAATATTCGACGCGTATTTTTTTATACGTGCCCATAAGCCTATTTAAGGGGTGAAACCCACCCTTGAAGTTCACCCCTAAAAACAAATTTTTTTTAATTTCTCGAATACAATTCGTAATTTTTTACTGAATCAAAGTGGGTAACACTTGTTATTGAAAAGCACATATTTATGCATTGTTTTTAGTCATCAGACTCGTAACCCCCGTTTTTTATTAATGAAAAACTATATTTGATGACCATTTTTTTCACTATACACATTCCAAAATCTGTTAAATCTTGACAAAATTAATTGTTTTATGCACAATAATCAAAAATAAAGTTGACCTGTTCCGGCATTTTCAAAAACAAAATCCCTTGAGGGGGTGAGCTACCCCTAACATTTATACTATTATATTTCATTATTCCATTACGATATCATGGTATAAATCTCTTGGATACTATTAAAATTGTTAAGTAGTTGATGTAGTTTGAAATTTTCTGAAATCAGCCCTTACAAATGAATTCATCCCTAAAACTCAATCTCAAGTATTATTTTTTCATTACTTGAAAATACCCTAGGACTATTCAGTGGCGTATAACGTGTAATAATATTAGTTCACATCCTTGGTATTGAATTAGAATTCTTCACCCCACTAATGTATCAACCCCTATTTTTCAATAAAAAATGACACCCTTTTCCATATGAAAATACTAGTTTCTTGAGTTTGACGAAAAAAATTTTGGCAGTATGCACAATATTCAAATACGAAATCGACTGTTCTCACCTTAATAAAAATAACCTATAATAAGGGGTGTACCAGCCCCACAGGAGATATTGTCGTATCTCTATGATTTTATTCTTTTTCTATGGGACTTTCAAAAGTAATAAAAAATTAATGATTCAAAGCAAGAAGAACTAACTAATTATCGAATAAATGCATACGAAGAATAAACGTATAAACGCTTGGAAAACAAATTAAGAGAAGTGAACAGCTTAAAATAACAAGATAAGATTAAATTTATCATTTTCTTGTTGTTGTTGTCGAGATCGGACGGTGGGAAAAACCTCAACGGTTAAATTATCGTCTTGCTATGTTTTGGATAGATAAGACCTTTTTCGACTATGCGATCACACTCTTGAACTCACAATCAGCTCGCCAAAACAACACTCGAATACTCGATATTACCTCTCATCATCAGTCTTTAGTCAGAGCTTCATCGAGCTCGTTTGAATCAGTATATTAATTGTGAGTGCAGTGTTTGTTGAATTTACAAGAAATTACATTGGAATCCAATAAATGTGCAACCAAATTTCAAACTTCAAATTTCATCAAAGTATAACATAGTATTTTGGAATTCGTACATATTAATTCTACCATATAATTTTTGGTCAATACTTATTTCCTGATTGTAAGTAAAATTTCCTTTTGCGTAAAATTTCTTAACGCGGTAATTGATAGATATTGTATACATGCCCTCGCCATTTTTCAAAAAACGCACAGAAATTGAAAGTACTCTATTTTACAGCTCTTTACAAGCCCTATCTAAAGAAACCAGAAAAAATTATTTTCATCATTTTTTTTACTCTACATTTTTGAATTAAATATTTTTCCGAAGAAAAAAGCTCAAAAATTTTCATACTCACATCGTATTTGACGAAAATAATTTTTTAATTAGTGATTTAGATATAGCTTATAAAGAGTTATAAAATGCAATACTTCATATTTTTATGTGGTCTTTTTCCAGAATTGGTGAGGGATCAAAGATGGACAAGAAATTTTGGAATTGTCAATATTCAATTATCGTTTGAAGAAATTAGAAATGAAATTGATACGTAATTTTCAGTGTAATGTTGATTTAAATGATATTAAAAATTATTGCCTGGCTTTGTAAAAAAATATTCAAATTAATGCGCTTCGGATTTCATCATATAAAAAACAAATAATAATTATTATTTCTAGGTATTGGAAAAATGACTATGAATCCTATAAATGTTATACAATTATTATTATTATCTTTTCAAGCTATGAATATACAAGAAAGTCCCATTACTAAAGATGAAATTGCTTTGAAGGATAATATAGAAAAACTATTACTTGATTGTATAAATAACTTTGAGGATCCAGAATTCATTGTGGAATCTACATTAGCTTTTCAAGAACCATTTAAGGATACTGAAATGCATATTGTTGAAGATATTGATAAAATCTGGTCAGCAGATGTTGATGAACACTTACTAGTATGTAAAGCGGATACAGAAGATCTATCTTGGGATTACAAACGAAAAGCTGTGGACTATTGGAGAAGCGGAGTTACGAAAAATCTCGCTCTGCAAACCGTGCACCATAGATTTCGAAAAGTCCAATCAATTACACAGTTGAAACGATGGGCGCATACTTTGAATAAAGGAGGCACTTATAAAGAAAAAATTGGAAGAATCAATAAATTTGTATTAGATAATTTTCAGTCGGCTTCCGATGCCGGTTATATAATTCACGATAGAGATTTACAAAAATGGGCATTACAAGCTCAGAAAATCGTTGGACATGAAGATATAAGGTTTAAAGCGTCACGTCATTGGCTACAAAATTTTAAAAAGGCTCACAGAATAGTCAGCAGAAAGATAAATAAATTCGTAACAAAAAAGACTGTTGAAGGGAGAGAATATTTACAAAAAACAGCTGATGATATTGTTTCAGATGTGAAAAAAATAATTAAAAGCAAAGGTTTGGAATCAATTTACAATTCAGATCAGAGTGGATTTCAAATTGAAATACACTCGGGAAGAACACTAGCTATTGAAGGCGAAAAGCAAATTGAATGTCTTGTAGAATCTGTAAGTTCGACGACTCACAGTTACACAATTCAACCACTCATTTCAGGTGATGGGAGACTGCTTTCCCCATTATTCATTGTTTTAAAAGAAAGTAAAGGAACCTTTGGACCGGTAGTAGAATCCAAATTATTCAAGCCATCAAATATTTACGTGATGCCTTCCGCTTCTGGCAAACTGACTTCAGGTATGATATTTATTATTGATGATTACAGTTTTTAACTTATGTCATGTGAATAAAAATGAGTTTTTTCAATGGTTACAGAACATTTCAAAACATGGCTGAAGGATGTGTATTTTCCCAATGTTGGGCATTCAAGTGTCTTATTAATTGATTCGTGGAGTGGGCATTGCCCTGATGCTGTAAAGGAAGCAGCACCTCCAAACAAAATTGTTGATGTAAAAATAATTCCAAAAGGAAACAACAGGCAAAATTCAGCCACTAGATGCTTTCGGCTTCCGAGTGTGGAAAAATTACGTCCGTCGCTTCGAGGACAGTGTAACATTAATGAATGAGGATATAGAACTTCATAAAAGAAATAACATTATAAAACTCCAATCCTTGGTACATAATCAATTGTCATCTCCTCGATACAATAACCTATTCAAATATTCATGGTATAAAAGTGGCTACGTTGAATCAAAGCCAGATAAATTTGATAACCCCGTAGATTTTAGTTTTGGTAATGATTGTAATGAGCGTTGTGAAGTTCCTGCTTGCTCTAACTCAGCAATTGTAAGATGCTCTTGGTGTAAGAAATCATTATGCTTGAAACATTGTTTTAATGATTATCATTATTGCCAGGATTATAAAAAGTAACATTAAAACTCGAAACTATTGAAATATTAAATTTAAAATTTTTTTGTACTTTGAATCATTAATTTTTTATTACTTTTGAAAGTCCCATAGAAAAAGAATAAAATCATAGAGATACGACAATATCTCCTGTGGGGCTGGTACACCCCTTATTATAGGTTATTTTTATTAAGGTGAGAATAGTCGATTTCGTATTTGAATATTGTGCATACTGCCAAAATTTTTTTCGTCAAACTCAAGAAACTAGTATTTTCATATGGAAAAGGGTGTCATTTTTTTATTGAAAAATAGGGGTTGATACATTAGTGGGGTGAAGAATTCTAATTCAATACCAAGGATGTGAACTAATATTATTACACGTTATACGCCACTGAATAGTCCTAGGGTATTTTCAAGTAATGAAAAAATAATACTTGAGATTGAGTTTTAGGGATGAATTCATTTGTAAGGGCTGATTTCAGAAAATTTCAAACTACATCAACTACTTAACAATTTTAATAGTATCCAAGAGATTTACACCATGATATCGTAATGGAATAATGAAATATAATAGTATAAATGTTAGGGGTAGCTCACCCCCTCAAGGGATTTTGTTTTTGAAAATGCCGGAACAGGTCAACTTTATTTTTGATTATTGTGCATAAAACAATTAATTTTGTCAAGATTTAACAGATTTTGGAATGTGTATAGTGAAAAAAATGGTCATCAAATATAGTTTTTCATTAATAAAAAACGGGGGTTACGAGTCTGATGACTAAAAACAATGCATAAATATGTGCTTTTCAATAACAAGTGTTACCCACTTTGTTTCAGTAAAAAATTACGAATTGTATTCGAGAAATTAAAAAAAATTTGTTTTTAGGGGTGAACTTCAAGGGTGGGTTTCACCCCTTAAATAGGCTTATGGGCACGTATAAAAAAATACTCGTCGAATATTTTTTGATGTTCTACAACATATCACAATTTCAAGAAAATCGGTGAGGTACACCTCGGGTACCTTCCTTGTGAGTCATATTCTCCTTCAGAACCTGAGTTGTCTTGATCAGGTATAACCACGAACTCATCATTCTCTTCGGAATCTACATCTGAATCGTCATACTCACGAGCTGTTTCAGATTCTTTGGTTTTTGAAATTTCTGATGCTTTTCTCTTTGGCATTTTTTATTAATAATCTGTCATCTATGTATGAGAAACCTAAGGAACTATTATAGTTTCAAAAGCCCACACTTATCTTGTGAATCCAATAACAAGATAAAACGTCTGCATTAATGAAGAGAAAATGCTGCTACAAATTCTCTCACACAAATCGAGCGAAAAATTGGAAATTTCGCAAACTACCGGAAATAATACAGAATCGCTCTGTATAAGAACGCTTCATAGGTCAGACCTATTTCATAAATAATTGTTCAGTTAAAATGTAAAGAATATCGAAAGACAATCTGCAGCACATTTATATTGCATAAAAATAAAAAATCTTATTTCAAATGTAAACGTAGTCAACTGACTTGGATTTAGTTATCTCGGGAACAAGAAACAAAAACTTGAAATAAAGTTGATTTAAAAAAATTTTTTATTCAAAAACGATTATATTTACAAAGAAATCGACAAGAATAAAATATTCTTAGAATAAACTGTAGAATACGTGGGAATTATTTTGGATTTTTTGAGCAACTTTTGAATTTGAGCAAATTTTGAAACAGCTCGTGAGTATGACGATTCAGATGTAGATTCCGAAGAGAATGATGAGTTCGTGGTTATACCTGATCCAGACAACTCAGGTTCTGAAGGAGAATATGACTCAGATGATGAGAATTTGGATGAAGAAATCCCAAAACCAAACATTTCATACAGATCTACTTTTCATAACTATTCAGCAGTTAAAAAAAAATTAGAACCAGATCATGAATTTTCATGGTGTAATTCAGAAAAAGTATGCCCTGGAAATGTAGAGAATGAATTACTGTTGAGTGATTCTGTAAAGAAAAAAATATGTTCAATGTCACCTGTGCAGTTATTTGAACTTTTTTTCTCTAAAGAAATAAAAAATTATATCATTGAAGCTAGCGAAGCAAATGGATTGAATTTATCCGTACAAGAACTTAATACTTTTGTGGGAATATTACTGCTATCTTCGTACAACATACGAAATGAGCTAAGGGAGTATTGGGAAACTGACCCTCTTGTGAAGTGCTCTGTAGTTTCTTCAGCAATGACTCGTGATAGGTTTTGTGAAATAAAAACAAAAATAAAATATTCTAAACCTAAAGATAAAAATGACCATGACAAAGCTTGGAAAGTTCGGGAAATATTAAATCTATTCAAAACAAATATTCAACAATTTGGCTTTTTTATGACAGCTCTTTCTGTAGATGGAATGATGGTCAGATTTTTTGGACGTACTTGCCTAAAACAATATTTACCTTGCAAGCCTGACAGATATGGACTAAAGCTCTGGGGATTGTGTGGAGCAAATGGGTATTTGTTCAATATGGACATTTGCTGTGGTAAAAATGATACTAGCATTGGAATAAATTTAGCATCATGTCCACTTGGATCCAGAGTAGTTGTACAAATGATCAATCCTTTTTTACTTGGTATTTCAAAAAGAAAGCTTAGACTATCACCTCTATTTCGATAATTATTTCACTAGTCCTGATTTAATTGTACACTTGGGCAAATATGGATTGCGATCGACAGGAACTGTACGCAAGGATAGAGTGAAAGTAAAGCATACTTTTGAAAAAAAAGCTCCGCGAGGAACATTCAAAGTGGATCATGACACAAACAGTGGTATGAACTTTATTACTGTAATTGACTTCAAAGAAGTATCTGTTTTATCTACAGCAGTTGGTGTTACACCTATAAAACCAATAAAAAGGTATTCATGAACTGCTAAAGATAGAATAGAAATAGGATTTCCTTTTGCCTTCTCACTGTACAACAAATTTATGGGAGGCGTAGTCTTGTACGATTTTCTATGTAAAAAAGCTTGCCCAAGTATTAGCTCAAAAAAATGGACATTCAAAATTTTCTCGCGTATCCTTCAAGTTTCAGTTACAAATGTTTTAACACTTTGGAACATTTGCAATACCGACAAAACTAAACATGTTACAACAAAATATTTATGTAAAGAAATCAGTAGAGTGTATTTATCCAATTCTAAATTGGGCGATTTCCAATCTCATCAGTATGAAACTAGAACTAGAGCAGTATGTAACTACAAGGAGTGTCGTCAACGAACTAGCAGATTTTGCATTGATTGCGACAAGTACTATTGCTTACACTGTTTTCCTCTTTTGCATCAAGCGAAATAATTTTTTTCTCTAAAGTAATCATAAATAATTAAAAAAAAACAAAAATACAAAAAAAATATAAAAATAACTAAAATGTAAAAAAAAGACACTATCTATATTCGTCGACCTCCACGATGGTGATAGTTGGGCAACGTAAAAAAATGCATTTTACGGCGAACAGGCGAAATATGCACTTTGATACCACATTGATACTAATGGGAAAATTTTCACAAGAAATGCACATACAAAAAAATTTATAAGAATAAAATAATCTTAGAATAAACTGTAGAATACGTGGGAATTATTTTGAATTTTTTGAGCAACTTTTGAATTTTGCATAAATTTACAGTTTGCAAAAATAAAAAAATTTTTTTGAAATCTTTTGAAAAAATTTAGGTGCATTCTTTGAGTAATTCTAAGAACATTTTCTTCTTTGGCAATTTTTCCATAACCCCATAGTTGTTGAGTTAAAAATTCATAAACATATTTACAAAAATTTTGCAATCGAGGCGCCATTTTGAAACTCCCCAGGTGAAAAATCGATCCGAAAACGATGAGACCTTAATATTCAGACATTTATTCCTCCAGTTACAGAGGTTCCGGGTCGATTCCACTGGAGAAACCTTTTGAAAACTCGATTTAAAAAAAAAAGGAGTGAAAAAATCATGATTTTTTTTTTTTAAAACTGCATTTTGCAATAGTAAAAAATTTTTTAGAAAATTGAGATGGGCACCATCGGAAAGAGCAGATCTTAAACTTTCAGAATATAGCTCTTTCAATTTTTTTTGGCAATTTCAACGTCAGTTGTAAGCTCTTAAATACCAGGGTAACGTGAGTGGCGTTTTCGGCGGAAACGGGTTAAAACAAAAAAATTTGGAAGTATAACATAACATCTAGTTTCTTATAGCTTTTGATCGAATTCGATATCTAATTTTGTTTGATTACAAAAAATTATAACTTGAAAATTGCTAAAATTCGTAACTTTGATCAAGAAAAGTCTGTTTTGAATTTTCGAAAATCAATAATTTGTTTATGCTACATTATTTGATAAGGTCTTGAGAGTATATCAATTTATAGGCCTTATAAGTTGACGGCTACTTAGAATTTTGAACGTGGTGATTGCTTCAAAATTTTATTATCTTCGTTGTATCAAAGTTTCATAATGTCCTTCAGTTTATTTTCATATTACCATTCAGTCAGGAACAGAAAAATGTAATTTTTAATGTATTTTTCTATAAGACAGATTTTTCATTTTGTTTTTCAAAATTAACTTAAAAAGAAACTTCTTCGTTTACCCACTGACCAATATCCTGTATGATAGACATCAAGGTTGTTAATACAGATTTTGTTGTTGACTATGTTCACTTTACTCCATCTACGTCAACCCGCAATTTCGAGATATAAAATACGTATAAAAGTTCTTTTGATTTTTGACTAAGAATCTGAAATGTACTCGTATGCCGTATATAAAGATTTATGAATATTTTTCTTGCAAGTTTGTACGATGCTTAATAATATGCTTAATAACATAAGCCGCAAAGTTTTATTCTTTTACAACTGAGGTCATTTCTGAAGTAGTTTTTTGTGTAGAATTCGAATCCGACGTCCAAATGTTCCATCAAGTGAAGATTTCGAATAATTTTATCTTAAAAGTTTACAAAACACGTTTTTTTTGTTATATTCAGGAATTGATTAGATTGTGAGTTTCTATTCTTTTCAAAAATAACCAACACCTTCTTAAAGAAGCATCCTGATCTTTCAAAAATTATTTTCCAAATTTAAGAAACCATTTTTTTTCGAGATCTCATCATTTGAAATTTAACATTTTTGAGGTTTCATCTATTACGTCTTGGGCGTTAGCTACCCGTTAAACTTAACATTTAAGACGTAATAATATGAAATCTAGTGGGCAAGGCTCACTTATATTTTCCATATACGAGGTGTGTTCAAAAAGTAAGGTGACTTTGTATTTTTAAGAAAAAATATTTATTTATTTATGAATATTTATGTTGTCCCCTTCAAAGTAATCCCCCTCAGATACAATACACTTATGCCAATGGTTTTTCCAATCCTCAAAGCACTTCTCATACGCACTTTTCGGTATAGCCTTGAGCTCTTCCAGCGATGCAGTCTTTATCTCTTCAATCGTTGCAAATCTCCGTCCTTTCATAGCTCTCTTTAGTTTTGGGAACAAGAAAAAGTCACATGGGGCCAAATCCGGTGAATATGGTGGATGAGGCATGATTGTGGTGTTGTTTTTGGCCAAAAGATCTCTCACAAGCAAAGATGAGTAAGCAGGGGCAGTATCGTGATGCAAAAGCCATGAATTGTTTTTCCATAATTCTGGGCGTTTTCTTCGTATTGCTTCTCGCAAACGGCGCATAACTTCAAGATAATACTGTTTATTGACCGTACGTCCATATGGTAAGAACTCCTGATGCACCACGCCATGGTAATCGAAGAAAACAGTGAGCAAAACTTTGACATTTGATCGAACTTGGCGTGCTTTTTTCGGTCTTGGCTCATCTGGGCTCTTCCATTGGGACGATTGGACTTTGGTTTCGATATCATAACCATATACCCATGATTCGTCACTAGTTATTACCCTTTTGAGTAAATCTGGGTCGTCGTTGACGTCATTCAACAGTTCTTGAGCGATGCTCATGCGAGGGTTCTTTTGGTCAAAATTTAGCAATTTCGGAACAAACTTCGCTGACACACGTCTCATGCCCAAAACGTTAGAAAAAATTTCATGGCACGAGCCAAGCGATATACCAACATCCTCAGCAACTTCTCTGATAGTGATTCGACGATTTCCCAGAACAATTTTCTTCACTGCTTGAACGTTTTCATCAGTTGTTGACGTGCTTGGGCGTCCAGAGTGAGGCTCGTCATTGGCATTTTCCCGGCCATCTTGAAAGAGTTTGTACCACTTGAAACATTTTTTTTTCTCAGAACAGTTTCACCGTATGCCACCGTCAACATTTCAAGTGTTTCGGAGCACTTTATTTTATTTTTTACACAAAATTTAATGCAAATCCTTTGATCCATATTTTTCGATAGCAAGAAATCGCCGAGCACGCAAAACACTTATAACCTTTACGCCTCTTACAACCAAACAAAAAATGCTATACACTTGAAACTTGGTACAGATGTTCGGGAAGAGTGTACCAACATAACAAAACAAAAAAATCGATAATCGAAAGTACGTTGCCCGTGAAATTTGAAGTCACCTTACTTTTTAAACACACCTCGTATATTTTATATATGGTATAAAAGTATGAACAAAACAAAGCAGAGAAATGAATGAATGAGTGTTATAATACATGCAATATTATCGTATATGTATCGTAGATCATAAAATGTAGAAAATGATTAACTGAATATTTCTTAACCAAGTAGTGTTTATTTAAAATTTAACAAAATGTGTTACACACGTTAGAGCTGCAGTTACCAAATATACCAGATTATTTTATTTTATTCTATGATTTTTCGATTGATAATTCTGAATTAAACGTCAGAATTACTCAAGAACCTTGAATTTTTTAGATAGCATAACTCAAAATTGCAAAATATAATATTCTTGATCCGACAATAACTTATTTTTACGGAGGCGCCTATAGGACCGGACAGGCAATGATATCAGAATCTGAAATAGCGATTTTCTTGAACCACGACCCTCTAGGGTTATACGTACTAGTGTACGTAACAGTACTATTAGTTGTATGTAACAGTGACCTCAAACCCTTAAATCCTCATTTCCCTGACTCTCGAACGCTAACGAGCAAGATTTGTGACTCTAGATATTTTGTAAATCTGTTAACTTAATCCTCGAATCCTGTAACCTGCAAGGTTTGTAACCCCAAAACCTCTAAAATTAATATCCTTAACTCTTCAACTCTGTGACCTGTGAGTCTATAACTTGAGCCCCATACACCCTAATTTCCTTATACCTCAAACCCTGTAACCTGCTAGGTTTATAACCCAACATTCTTCATTCTCGCACTGTTTAACCTGCCAGTTTCAAACTACAGAATTGAGTAATCCAATAAACCAACAATTTTCATACTTTCATTTTCTCAACTCATGAACTATGTGATCTATGAGATGATTATTACTTTCGAAGCCCAGAATCTGGATTTGTTCAAATGTTATAGTAAAATTCTGTTATTTTGTGCAGCTCCACCAATTAGCCGTTCTTAATCAATTGTTCTCACAACTTTGCTTCGAGCATGTTTTCTTCAGTTTTTCCAATCAACCGTTTTCACGGCTATTGTTCTGGTGATAATTTACATTCGAGCATTTCTTAATCAGTCGTTTTCACAACTCTGCTTGGATTATGTTT